TTTGCTCACTTCACCTCTAAACAGCTGCCAGTCTTAGATCTAGGAAAATTTCTCATTCAGGTGTTGAGAAATAGGTGTATCTTATAAGCTTTTATTTGTAGCAAATTTCAGACATTATTTTTATAGAGTATGGTAACCATTCCATTTTAGTAGATAACCAGCTTACAGCGATGCAGCTTTGTTTTATCTAGCCCCCTCCTGCCACCCACATCCCAGGGAGTGATTCTGTAGTAAATCTCAGATCACATAGTCTTTACGGGAAAATACTCCAGAATGTGTCATTGAAAGATGTGGATGTGTGATATATCATTAATGGTTTGCACAGAGTGGTATGCTCTGGAGTTGTGCACAGGTTTGTCACTTCTCCCTAAAACCTAGGGTGTAGGAGGATGTGATATCACCTGTGCTTCCAGCCCTACTTTCTTTCTCCACATTTGCTGTGAGCTGAGCAGCAGGTGTCACTGGTTTAGGCTTAGCACAGAAGAAAGGCACTAGCCTCTCCTGGACCTTTTCTGGGTTTTCATGTGGAAGGATAAAAGCATAAGAGCCCTGGGAACACTGACATCCTTGTGGTCTTGGGTGAGGAATTGTCCTCCCCCTTCCCCCACACTGTGTCACTGGGGCAGCCCTGAAGTGTGAGCAAGGATATGTTCAACAACAGGTACTTTGTGCTGACGGCTGCTGATGTAGCCTCTGCCTGGATGCAGACTATCCTTCCTCAGCAGCTCTGAGGCCACATGCCTATGGCCCAACACCAGACCTTCCCGCATGGACTGTGAGGTTCTAGAGAGGTGGGATTGATGGTCACTTCCCTGGTGACCCCTGTGTAGCTGACTGTGCCTCATGGCTTTCCAGATTAGGACCTGAAAGTGATCATTGTGGTAGTTAACAAGTCAAGTGCATTACTATTTATGTCCCAAGCAGCTAGGCTGAGCCTGTGTTCATACCTGTTCCCTCCTGTCCCCTGCTAACTTCCTGTACTGTCTTTGGAACAAGCCCCTCAGGGGATCTACCAGCTTCCCCAAGTGCCCCCCCTGCTGCCTGGTCATGCCCTCAGGTTCTGCTGTCAGCCTGCTCCCACCCTACTCCTGACATCTTTGCTCATCATGGGCACTTGCTGCAGCAGTAAAAAGACCAGATTGACAAAAATAAGTGGACAGGGACAGTCACTGTTGATAGAGAGGCAACACCTGGCTCCACTCACTTAAGGAAATACAAAAAGATTGGTTGCAGAGTCCCTAATGGAAAAATGATTGGCTGACGTGATTCCTGCTCCTTTTGGGAAAGCTAATTGGCAGGCAGTTAGGGGTTTTTGAACTAGGAATGAATCCCAAAGGAAAAATACAAAGGAAGAAAGAGCTGTAGATATGCCAGGCTGTTCCTTTCTACAAGAGGTTGCAAACAGCCTCTGGGCCAGCAGTGTGGCCCTATGAGCCCAAAGTGGCTAGGGTGGCTTCCCGGGGAGAGTAGAAACAGTGTGCCGTGATTAGGATGCAGTATTATTTCCCATCAGATGGGTGTCAGGAGTGACTCAGAAACAGGGCAAAGAGAGGTGGTCTATGGGGTTGGCAGCTCAGGTGGATATTAGACAAGTTGTGTAGGAGCTAAGTCAGGTGCCCTGGGTCTGTTCTGCCTCAGGGTGTTGTCCTCACTCCTGTCCCTATTACCATACTCAAGGCTTTGGTGCTGTCTTGCATCTCCCACTAGCACTGGGAGCTTCCTCTCCAGCCTTCTCCCTCCTCTTTCCTGCTTTCCATTGTGAAGGTCTAGTGTTCTCAGAAGGGACCCCTCCAGGACGGGCAGACACAGTTCACTCTGTTGCCTCCTTTTCTGACCACTGGGGAGCCCCTCTTGGTACTGCCCTCCCCCTATGATTGACTTCAGGCTAAACCAGGGTTCACACTGGGCTCTGCAGGCCTGGAACCTGGGTGGGAGCCTCTTTTAGCCACAGCTGAGTCCTGGCATCCCCACTACCTGCAGGTCCCCATAACAAGAGTGGGGCATCAGGGGCCTCCTACCCACTCTATGAGGATGGTTTGGTTGAGAAGTCAGGTTCCCCAGAGTCTGGGTCAGGAGCCATTTCACATTTTGCTCTTAGAGACCCACCCCAATTGGATGCTAAGTGTTCTTTGGGACAGATTGGTTATCTGTAAGGAGGTTCTATGGGGCTGCATGTTCAGTCCATCTCAGTGTACCTGGCCTTTCATGGGGAACCCTTGCTGCATTGCTCAGAGGTCACTTGCTGGGCCTCAGGGGCCTGCCTGACTGCACCTGGAAAGCCAGATAATGCTCCCCACATGGTGCTCAGAGCTCTTGCCATCATGGCCCTAGGGCTCACAGGACAGGGCATCTTCACCTTGCCCATCCTCCTCACTGCTATCATCACTGGCTACCTTCTGCTGGCTCCAGGGGTGGCCTCAGCAGGCCCTTAACCTCTCTCTGTGCCTGGGAGCCTGACCTCCTCCAGAGCGGAGGAGCTCCTCTGCTCCTCAGGCGAGAGGTCTGTACATAGGGGACAAAATGAAACTGCTGACGATGTAGCATTTCCCAAGGGCCTCAGGAAGGCTAAAGGTCTCTCTCCACAAGCCTGAGTGAGGCTCTTTAGGTGGCCCCGAGTCATGGGGTGCGTAGGCAGGGCCCTCAGACCTTCACTTCATGTCCCCAGCTCCCACACAGTGTCTGGGCAGCTCTCTGGCTGGCTTTTGGGTTCAGCAGTGATCTCTGGGGTGCCAGCTCAGGGCCAGATCCTGGAGTTGCCCAGGTGTTCTGCCTCCTCTCTCTTATCTGGCAGCAGGACAGCATCTGCCCAAGGACAAGGACACACTGTGCCGCAGGGCAAGCTGGGTCTGGGCAGCGTTCCGCTCTGTGAGGACTGCTGGTTCAGAAGTATGTGGGAACCCAAGGCTCTAAATATACAGGGTGAGGTCACCAGGGTGGAGACAAGGCCATGTGGCAAGCCCAGGAACCCTGTTGGGACTGGTGTCCCCACTGTGTACTCTTCTGTTGTGCCAAATCCCTGCTAATCTTGTGTTAGAGGTAAATAGGGGCGCTTGTCTCTCAGATTACCATCCATGCCCCTGATGCAACTTGGAGTAAGATTTTTAGGGCCATTTGGATGTGTTCATGGACATGGCCCCAAAGGCAAGGCATTGTTGTTAAAGAGCAGATTGGCCTGATGGTCTGTTGTGAGAAATGTCAGGTGGTGTGAGGACCACGGTTTCTGTGGTCATTCTGCAACTTTATACCTAGAAGAGAGAGAACCAAGGCATGGTGAGGGGGGAGGGAGGAAGGGTAATAGCTGCTTCCCACTAGAAATGAGACAGGAAATTAGAAAAGCCAGAATACAGGTGGCTCACAGAATGATGGCTCCCACAGATGTCCGTAAGTTAGTCCCTATATAGACTTGAGGTGGGTAGAGGACCTGGAGGGTCTGGGAGGGCCCTCCCCCTCCCTAGTCAGATGAGTCTTTAGAAGTGAGACCCTTTCCTGCCTGGGTCAGAGAGATAACAGTGTGAGGCAGGACCACCTTCTATAGAGCCCACAGCTGTTTGTGCTTTAGCCCAAAGCCATGTCTAGTTAGGGATGTTGGTTGTGATGGCAAATCGAAACTGTCTAACTGCCCCCGCCCTCCAGCGTTAAGGTAGGGCCCCCCTCTGGCCCTGGAAGGCACAGCTGAGCCAGGTAAGATCTTGCTACAGGACATTTCTGATGTTGAGAAAAGGCCAACCCTTAGAACCATGGTAGGTTTTGTTTTGAAACGTACCGTAAGTGTATGTATATACATACACGTTTGTATGCATACATGAGGGATATTTTGGGAAAAAATACAAGGACATGCTGCAGTGGCTGGATGAAAGAAGTACTTTTCTTGGTGTGCCCTTGTATCCTGTTGTAATCTGGATTGTGTACATGCAGGCTCTCATGTGCATAGAAGGGGTCCTGTAATGTGTTCACTGTGTGACTCAAAGAGGGCAGATGGGCCTTCCTCAGGAGTCCTGAGCCAGCCCACTGGAAACTGTAGCTGCTGGGGTGGTTGTTGAGCTATAGGAATTCTAATAGTAACAATGAAACAAGGAAAAGAGGAAGGAATTGTTAGCTTGTAGGAAATGCAAAGTCACCTGTCCCCCAGAAGTACCTGGTATTTGGCAAGTGTCTTAGTGGAGCATATAGATTATGTGGGACATTTTCCTGATAGCTGATAAAGCTCAGCATTAGCATGGTTCATATTTTGCACTGTGCTTGTTACTGTCGCCTGGCCACTGTGGGACAATTCTAATAGTAACAATGAAACAAGGAAAAGAGGAAAAGAGGAAGGAATTGTTAGCTTGTAGGAAATGCAAAGTCACCTGTCCCCCAGAAGTACCTGGTATTTGGCAAGTGTCTTAGTGGAGCATATAGATTATGTGGGACATTTTCCTGATAGCTGATAAAGCTCAGCATTAGCATGGTTCATATTTTGCACTGTGCTTGTTACTGTCGCCTGGCCACTGTACCTGAGTTCCTTGTGGATGTGTTGCTATACAGGCGTCTTTCATGTGTTCCAGATAGAGCTCCTAGAGCTCCTGGTCTACGTCTACTTCCACTTTGTGACTCTGATCTTTTTGTGGTCTTTGGGTGAACTCTAAAGGTCACATGTTAATATAATCAAATTGGTTCATTATGTATTACTCTTTTAAGCTTTGTGCCTTTAATGAATCCTTCAGCATCCCCCACCCCCATCAGATGGCAGAATAGAGGTCATCTCACATATTGGGACAGATCTCATAAGTATCCTGAGTTTCTGCATGTGGGTGGGCATATACATAGAGGAGGGGCTTGTGGCAAGTTGCACACCATGTTCTGGAAGAAGTCAGTGGGGTGGGGGTGTGCACTAGGTACCTTATTTGCCTGGAGAGCATGTAGGAGGGTATGTGGAGTGAAGGGGGTTTGGTGCTGCTGCCTCCTCTTGCTCTGGTAGGGCAGGAAGGGGGACAGTGGAGCAAGCTGGGAATGGGCTTTACAAGCCTCCAGGGGAGAAGGGCAAGAGTTTGATGAATGACTCTTATTTTACAGATCCGGAACATGGTGGCGGTACTGGAAGTCATCTCCAGCTTGGAGAAATACCCCATTACCAAAGAGGCACTGGAGGTGAGTATCCCCAGACCCCGAGCATTTGGGAGGGCAGAATGGAATCAGCAAGGCAGCAGGCTGGATCTTTCTCTAGCTTCTCTGAACTTCATTCTCTCCTCACTAGTCAGGGAGGCCTTCAGAGGATTGACAGAGGTGGTGTGCCCTCATGGCATGTGCCCTGCTATCACTGCCTTCCCATGGGCACTGCAAGAATGGGATGTTATTAGTCCCAGAGCAGGATTCCTTCCTCCATGCCCCATACACCTTGTGGACACATGAGGACATGGGAAGAGGTGTGCTTAAGGAGCCTTCAGTAAATGGCACTGTCCCTGGCTCTCTGCTTAAGTAGCAATAGCAAGTCCTCTGTGTTGTCACCTTGTCCATGGCATCTTCTCACCCAGAAAACTTCCCTGACAGAGTGTCTTTGCAGTGGCCTAGATGGTTCATAGCCACTGGGTGTTGAGACCCTGTGAGATGGTGTTTCTGAGAAAGCCACCTAACCATAGGATTCTTAAGGTCTGAGGACTAGATTTGAGGATTTGTCACAAAGGACCAGATTCCTACAGATTGTGTGTCAGAGAAACTGGATACAAACTGGCTGAAGTCAAACTGGCTGTTCAGTGGGCCTGCCAGCCCGATGCCAGTGACTTGCCACAGCTCAGAAACTTCCAGCAAACAGAAAACATTGGCCTGATAGTGGCTGGGTGGGGAAGAGGTCCTTTCAAAGCCAATGGCACTTCCCACAATTTCTGGCTCAGCTCTCTTTTCATGGGGAAGTCCCTGTCCCAAAAGCGCATTATTATCTCTCTCATTATAGGAAACACGACTCGGGAAGCTCATTAACGACGTCCGCAAGAAAACCAAGAATGAGGAGCTTGCCAAGCGGGCCAAGAAGCTGCTGCGGAGCTGGCAGAAGCTCATTGAACCTGTGCACCAGAATGAGGCGGCACTGCGGGGGCTGGCGGGGGCAGCTGGCTCAGCCAATGGGGGTGCTCACAACTGCCGGCCAGAGGTGGGAGTGGCTGGCACACCGAAGAGCATCCATGACCTGAAGAATCGCAATGACATCCAGAGGTTGCCTGGGCAACGGCTGGACAGGCTGGGTACCCGCAAGCGCCGGGGTGACCAGCGTGACCTCGGCCACCCTGGGCCACCTCCCAAGGTCTCCAAAGCTAGCCATGACCCCCTGGTCCCCAACTCATCTCCCCTCCCCACTAATGGTATCGGTGGAAGCCCAGAAAGCTTCCCCAGCCCCCTGGATGGCAGTGGGCACATGGGCCCTGAGGGCAGCCGCTTGGAGCGTGAGAATGACAAACACAGCGGCAAGATCCCTGTCAATGCTGTGCGGCCTCACACCAACTCCCCTGGTCTGAGCAAGCCCTCTGGGCCCTGCTTGCAGGGAAAGGCTTCGGTGCTGCAGCAGCAAGACAGGGTGGACGAAACTCCAGGGCTACCCCACCCCAAGGGGCTCCCTCGCTGCTCTTTCAGTCCCCGGAACTCACGGCATGAGGGCTCCTTTGCCCGTCAGCAGAGCTCATACGCACCCAAGGGCTCTGTGCCCAGCCCTTCACCTCGGCCCCAGGCACTTGATGCTATGCAGGTGCCATCACCACTTGAGCTGCTGCCAAGTGCAGAGAGCCCAGTTCGCTGGCTGGAGCAGCCTGAGGGCCACCAACGTCCCCTTCTGCCCCGGGCGGGGTTCTCCCCGGACTCCTCCAAGGCGGACAGTGATGCTGCCTCCTCGGGTGGCTCGGACAGTAAAAAGAAAAAGAGGTACCGGCCTCGAGACTACACAGTTAACTTGGACGGGCAGGTAGCTGAGGCAGGCGTCAAGCCTGTCCGGTTAAAAGAGCGAAAGCTCACCTTTGACCCCATGACAAGACAGATCAAACCTCTGACCCAGAAAGAGCCGGTGCGGGCAGACAGCCCTGTGCACATGGAGCAGCCTAGGACAGAGCTAGACAAGCAGGAGGCCAAGGCTAGCCTCCAGAGCCCCTTTGAACAGACGAACTGGAAGGAGCTGTCACGCAATGAGATCATCCAGTCCTACCTGAGCCGGCAGAGCAGCCTGCTCTCGTCATCTGGGGCACAGACCCCCGGGGCTCACCACTTCATGTCTGAGTACCTGAAGCAGGAAGAGAGCACCCGGCGAGGGGCCAGGAAGCTGCATGTGCTGGTGCCTCATGACCCGCCCACAGACCTCCCAGGGCTGACCCGGGAGGTCACACAGGACGATCTTGACAGAATCCAGGCCCACCAGTGGCCAGGGGTGAACGGGTGTCAGGACACACAGGGTAACTGGTATGACTGGACGCAGTGCATATCGCTCGACCCACACGGTGATGACGGGCGGTTGAATGTTCTGCCTTATGTCTGCTTGGACTGACTAGCCCATTGGCCATGAAGTGCATTCCCACCTTGCAGTAGCCAGGGCAGGCGGGTGGCCAGGGTCCAGCTGCTACTTGCAGCTGGTAACTCGGGGTGTCCGGCCCAGGCGGGAGGGAGGTGGCGGGAGTCACATCGTCTCTGCGCTCATCCCTCATAATTCTCCTTCTTTTGTGAAATGCTGCTACGAGTTTACTAACAAAATTGCAAAGGAAGGACCGTGTGGAAGGAAGGACGGCAAAGTGAGTTCAGAACTCTATAGCAGACCAGCTATAAAAAGCGTTAGTTCCCCACCCTGGAAGAGGTGAGGATACTTTCTAGCACCTGAATGCTGGGACCTCAGTTGCAGGCAGGCACAGAAAACCTGTGGGAGAGGTTACCTTTAACGTAGCAACAGAAGCATGCATCTCATCTCTACGTTTTCTGTTCTTTAATTTGGCCCTGAGGGTCTGTGAGACTGTGGGCCCCACCATGGCCTCTGCTCCCCACCCAGCCACTGTCAGGCCAGTGTTTTCTGTTGTGTGCTGGAAGCTTCTGGGCTGCAGTGAGCCAATGGCATCAGGTGGGCAGGCCACTGACCAGCCAGTTTGACCCACACTCCATGGGCATCCACCCGTTTGTATCTGGTTTCAGTTAAACCCCAGTTTTTTTTTTTAAATGCTGCAAAAATTTAAGTTTTCTCAAGTTTATTTTTCTCCTTCTCTTCCATCTACCAGCCAAACAAATCTTTCCTTTCTTCCTCTTTTCTTTTTTTTCCTCCTGCACACATCTAGAAAATTTCACCTTTCTAGAGTTCCCTCCCCCCCACAAAAACACAAAAGTTACCGCGGGTGCTACTGGTGTGTAAGCTGTACTGTTGGGCGAGAGGGAAGACCTGTCTGTACGCTGGAAACACTCATAACCATTCCTTTAGATTCGTTTGCCTTATGGTTATTTGTCATAAACGCGATTTGCAAAAACAAGGAGCCTTAGTGAATGTACAGTACCTAGACTTCTGTGTTCTCAGGACACAGAAGGGAGCAACTTTGCTATTTGGTCCAGTAAGTGGACACCTTGTGATATAAATGTGGAAATAAAAAACGATTTGCACAAACCAGTCTAAGAATTATTTCTTATTTGGGTCTTCACGACCACACCTGCCCTTTGCTGGATTCTGGACTAGCCAGGAAGTCCTAGACCCCACAACCATACTGCATGAAGATGGGGCAGGACAGGGCACAGCTTCAAGGCTGGCTTGTTAAACGTGCTGTTGCATTTGGGGGAGGGAGGAGCGCCACCTTTTATTCATCCAGGGTACCTGCTAGTTTGGAGTGACGAGTCCCAGCGATCCTGCCTCACTCACATACCAGCTACCCCAGAGAGAAACCCTCCATAGGTTGTATCTTAGTGACTTTTTGTTTCTCCCCACAAATATTTGCAGTTCTTAAACGTGGCTGAGAGGCTCTGAGCTGTGTCAGGCAGCTGACTCCTGCTTTTAATACATACCTAGTTGGTACTGATTTTTAAAAAACAACTCCCTTGACTATAAAGTGATAATTTTAGTTTCCCCTGGTCTCTGAAATCCAAAGCTAAGACAAGACTTTGGTTTTCTGAGGTTTTTGCTCCAGAACAGGTCATCTTGCCCATTTCTGCTTAATTTCACATATGAGGAAACAGACCTTTAGAGAGGCAGCCACACGGGGAAAACCGTGGGGTCCAGGCCACCCTTATAGCTTTCAGGATGGCAGTCAACTTCATAGCCAGCAGGGGTTCTGACAAAGGCGTGGTATGGGACATGTGCCACGACCCCAAGAAAAGGCTAATGGGAGGGAGAATCCTAGGAACTTCCATCTACCATCTGTGGGGCTCTGGGCTAATTCTTATGCACCTATCATCATTTGGGGGCTGAAAATGCCTACCCCAGAATTGTGGCAACTAAAATGATAAAAGTTAACCAAAATGTGTCAGTAGGAATGTTTGACATCCAGCTGCGCTATGGAGTAACTATAACTACTTTCCTAAATACACTGTGCCGATTTTACCCTGGACAGCTCTCCTGACATGCAATATCCCAAGGATGTGACATCTCTGACAAGAGAGTCAAAGGCACAGCTGGAGGATATTAGAGTACAGAGGTTGGGGTCTTTTCAGCACCTTTTCTCAGTTCTAGAGATTGAAACAGGCCGATTGTCCCCACCTGCCAGGGACCACCACACCTATGCCTTGAGTATCCAATAAGCTCCAGGGCACAGGTATTGCCTGCCTTTAAGAACACAAGGATATATAAAAAAAAAAGAAGAACACAAGGATAGGTTTGGCTCCTGTAGCTCAGTGGCTAGGGTGCCAGCCACATCACCCAGGCTGGTGGGTTTGAACCTGGCCTGGGCCTTCCAAACAATAACAACTACAACCAAAAATAGCCATGCATTGTGGTGGGCGCCCGTAGTCCCACCTACTTGAGAGGATGAGTCAAGAGAATCACTTAAGCCCAAGAATTTGAGGTTGCTGTGAGTTATCATGCCTCTGCACTACTGATGGTGACAAAGTGAGACTGTCTCAAAAAAGAAAACACAAGGATAAGGCCGGGCATGGTGGCTCACATCTGTAATCCTAACACAATGGATTCGATACTAGCCTGAACCAAGGCGAGACCTCGTCCCTAAATATAGCCAGGCGTTGTGGCGGGAGCCTGTAGTCCCGGCTACTGGGGAGGTTAGGGGGCAGGGGATAGCTTGAGCCCAAGAGTTTAAGGTTACTGTGAGCTTGACGCCACGTCACTCTACCGAGGGCGACAAAAGGTAACTGTCTCAAAACACAAGGATAAGGTGATAACCCCCAACATATGGGGGACCAAAGGTGGGTCGCTGCTTTCTAATTAGACAAGGATACCATAGCAAGGAATTTGAACGCTCCTTCCTCAAAAAGTTGAACGCACATGGTTTTTGAAAAAAAACGTCTTAATTAGTATAAGATCATGCTGAAAAAGCCTTGTTTTCCTCCACTGGGGCCTGGGGCTGATCTATTCTGGCTGCTCAGGGCCAAACATCTCCCCCTTCTCCAAAGCCCTGGAAGCAGGCTGTCGTCGGTCACGCCCCCCCCCCCAATTGGCCGTCGAAATGGGGATGGTAGGTAATACCTACCACACAGCTTTACTAAGATTCAGTGGGATGATGCCTGGGTTAGGCAGGTGAACCGCGCTTGTCGCGGTGGTTTCCAGCCCTTCCAGGGCTACTGGTTGCGCCGGGTTGGCTCCCCGGCCAGGCTTTGGCCACAGGCGTGTGGCCTAGATTTACAGAGCATATTCAGCCCAAGGGGATATTTCAACAACCTAGTTTCTTTCCCCGAAAAGTCTTATCCTCGGTGTCCGCCGCCTCCAGACCATCAGGAATCTGGTTAGGAGACGCGATGTCCCGCCGACCAAGGCCTCTGGGTTTAGTCCACGAGGTCGACTGGCTGCTCACAGACACCGACGGGGCGGAGCCTTCACGCTTCCGCCAGCCCAACCGCTTCTGCTCTTGCCCCCGGGTACCAGGACAGCCCACGTCTCGGATGGCACAGTGGCCTCCAGGTCCGCATCTCCTCCTTCCGTTTCCGGCCTCGGACCCGCCTGCACTAGTAGTGCATTCAGTGGCTGGCGAGGCCTGCACTCGATACGTGCTGTCTGGCCCGTCACCCGGCGCGCAGGGATGACGTGAGGCTTCAGTAAACCAATGGGTGATGGCGTTAACCGCAGGACCCACCCCCGCTGAGCCCCGCCCCCGCCCGGCGTCGGGCCGTCGGACAGGCGGGAAGGGGCGGCCGCTCCGGGAGGATGGCGGCGGCTTCTGCGGCGGCTGTGGGCTCGGGCTCCAGCGCAGGGGCCTCGGGTGCAGCGGGCGGCGGGGCGCGTGAGGGCGCGCGAGTGGCGGCACTCTGCCTGTTGTGGTATGCGCTGAGCGCGGGCGGCAACGTGGTCAACAAGGTTATCCTGAGCGCTTTCCCATTCCCGGTGACCGTGTCGCTGTGCCATATCCTGGCGCTGTGCGCGGGGCTCCCGCCGCTGCTGCGCGCCTGGCGCGTGCCCCCAGCGCCACCCGTCTCGGGCGCTGGGCCCAGCTCGCATCCGTCTCCCAGCCCGCTACTGCCGCCGCGTTTCTACCCGCGCTACGTGCTGCCGCTCGCCTTCGGCAAGTACTTCGCATCTGTGTCTGCGCACGTCAGCATCTGGAAGGTGCCCGTGTCCTACGCTCACACCGGTGGGTGCGGCACCCGAACTGTGGGGCGGTGGCCGGGGCGTTCTGCCCAGGGCTTGTGCTCGTGGGTAGGAGTTCGCTGGCCAGAGCGCGTCCCACCGGGACGAGAGGTCTGCAGAGGACCCGCCAAAGCTTTTGGTAGGGGAGGGGCACGTAAAGCGTTCTCAGGGAGGAAAAGATCTGAGAAGGGAGCTGGGAGCAGAGCCAGGCAGACCACGACTATTGGGTGGAACCCCACCGTGGAAGTGGAGTGGGCTTCTTGGGTGGGCCTTGGGACTGGGGTAGCCCACTGAGTGCCCTTCCCTCTCTTTGCAGTGAAGGCCACAATGCCCATCTGGGTGGTCCTCCTGTCCCGTATTATCATGAAGGAGAAGCAAAGCACTAAGGTAATCGCGGGGAGGGACTCTGGACAGAGGGATCCGGCTGTTGCCCAACTGGTGACGTGGTCCCTGCTTCTGGTCTGCAGGCTATCAGGCTAATTGTCAAATAAGGAAGTCAGTGTAGAGGACTCCAATGGCCTTTTTACTGCTAAAGTTCTTTCTAGAATCACCCTGCGAGCAGTGTATATGAATCATGTGTATCTTACGAACATTGTTGTTCCTCAGGTTTAATTTTCCTCCCTGTTTTGATTTCCTACCTGGGGTTGCTGGTAGGTGAAGGCTTGGCCACATCTTGTTAAGGCAGCCATGCATGTCCCTCCACTAGAACCACAATTGAAGGGAACTGTGAAACTGACATGTTTTCATTTCTGTATAAGAGGAATGAATGGTCAGAGGACTTCTGGGACCCAGAAACAAGATGTCAAATCAAATGAGTTTGATTTTTGGTGAAATTCAGCAAAGTCAAAGTCATAGAAATGAAAGCAGCATGTGGAACTTAGGGTACATAGGAGGATGCTTCTGGCAGACTCCAGGTTCTGTTCAAAATGCCAAGCCATGGCTGTAGCCAGAGGCAGCCTTGCCCCTTGTCCGCAAGCAGAAGTCAGACTCTTGTCCCAGCTGGAATCCATTTCATGATGGACACTGTCTTTTTTCCAAGTGGTTGGTTTCTGGCATCATGTATTATATTTTATGTAACTCGGAGCAGCAGTGCCCTGGATCAACTTATAGAAAGTGGGCCACTGTGGCTGAATTTTTTTTTTATTCCAGCCTATCTTTATCTCAGCAACACCTGTGTGTGCTCTTCATCCTGCCCCCTTAGGGTGATGTCGGGTGTGACTTGCCTTCTGGGGGTCAGAGTTGCCCAGGAAGTGTGTAGCTGCATCACTTGATACCACATCATGTTTATCAGGTGTCCTGTTGTACAGGACATTGTACCCGGCTTGGGCAAGAAGCCGGAAACTTCACACAATGAGGAAAGACTAGGGATTGACTCTCTGAAGCAAGCAAACTAATGATAATGAAGTAATAACTTCATAGGGATCCACCCTGCAAGGCAGATAAAGCAGGTAGTCATCATTCCTGACTTCAGGAGAAGAAATAGGACTTAAGAGGAGACATGCATGCATGAAGGCCGCAGCCAATGGTAGGGGAGCTGGAATGGAGACCCTGCAGTTCAGAGCCCTTGTTCTACCCTCCCAGGGGGCATTACCACCTCCTGTTAAGGGTATTCACCCTTGTCTTGAAAGTGTTCTTTGTAGGACAAGGTTGCACTAGAACATTAGACATAGAGAATGGATCCCTGCAGATCCTGGCAGTTGGGAGACATTTAGCCAACAGGCCCTTTCATGCTGGACCTTCTAGAAGGCCTCCTGTCATTCAGCCAGTGGGTATTGAGTACCTCCTCTGTGGCAGGCACGCAGATAGAGCAGCAAACAAGGACCTGCCCTAGAATTATACATGGTCTAACAAGGACCAGATGATTGAAAGGGCAGTTAGCATGAGTGGCAAGCACTCCATTGGGGAAGCCCAGGCAGAAGCCAAAGGACACATAGCATAGGAACCTACAGGGTAGAGCTGAGTGTCCTGAGAACCGAGAGGAATTGTTGCCAGCAGAAGGAGATGTCCGTGGAGTGTCTCTACCAAGAGTAATCAAGTTGTAGGAGCCTGCAAGAAGAGGAAATGAGAACTTCTTAGCAGGGGTCCTCAAACTTTTAAAACAGGGGCCAGTTCACTGTCCCTTAGACCATTGGAGGGCTGGACTGCAGGCCTGGGAAGAGTCAGCTGCTAAGCAGGACAGGCAATGGTAGCAAAAACACCCTGCGGGCCGGATAAATGTTCTCCTTGGGCTGTAGTTTGAGGACCCCTGTCTTAGAGGATCAAGGTTGCAAATCCTAGTGTGTTGGCAGCAGCTGGAGAGATCCATTAGGTTAAACCAGCCTTGTTCTGTGGCCCTGAGCAGAGGTTCTTGATGGAGGTGATGGTGTAGGGCAGGCATCCTCAAACTACCACCCACGGGCTACATGCAGCCCGCCTAGGACATTTATCTGGCCCGCTAGGTGTTTTTGCCACCGCTGCCTGTCCTTCTTAGCAGCTGACTGGTCCTGGGGCCTGCAGTCCGGCCCTCCAATGGTCTGAGGGACAGTGAACTGGCCCCCTGTTTAAAAAGTTTGAGGACCCCTGGTTTAGGGGTGGGTCTGCCCACAAACACACAGACCTGCCCCTCATGCTCTGATAACTATCTCCCTCTAGCCATTCCTCAGAGCATCAGTGGCATTCCAAAGTGTCCCTTTGGTGAGAGAGGAGAGAGCAAAGGAAGCTTTCCTCCAGGCATCTGTGGCAGGCAGCCCAACTCCAAGCTGGCCTTATCAGCCCTCCTGCTGTCCTCCTACAGGTGTATTTGTCACTCATCCCCATCATCAGCGGCGTCCTGTTGGCCACCGTCACTGAGTTGTCTTTCGACATGTGGGGTCTTGTAAGCGCCCTTGCTGCCACTCTGTGCTTCTCCCTTCAGAACATATTCTCCAAAAAGGTATTTGGACACTGTCATGAATACTCACGGTATTTCAAGGGTGTGCGGGTGGCGGGCTGGTAGCATTTGAAATATTGGCTGGGTAGAGACTTTATCATTGTGGGAGCAAAAAAAATCCTTACTGCCATTCTGCTAGTCTCCTGTTTGCTGCTTTACTTTTTAAAGTTTGTTTTTCCATTATAAAATTAACACATGCTTCATTTAAAAAAAAAAAAAGAGTAAATCCCAGTTTTAAAAAATGTTTTTAAACTTAGCACCTACTATGTGCACCTGCTATGTGTGGTGGGTGTTCAAGATAAGGAATCAAAAGAGACCTGTCCCCTGCTCAGAGATTTCCACTTTATTGAGTCAAAATCACAGTGTAGTTTCCTGAAGATTGCTACTATTAATGTTAGGTTTCTTTTGCACATTTCTTAGAGTTACAATACTGCAGATGTGTTAGAAATTTTGTTTCACTCATTTTATCATAGCATTTCCCCATATCATTAACAGTTACTGCTCTTAAATCCTATGGCAGTCACATACTTTACAGGTACCACAGTTAACACTATCAGTTTGTATTAGACATATCAGTTATTTTCAACTCATTGTAATGTAGAAATGATCTTTGTGTGTGATGTTTTTCTGTCTCTCAGGTTATTCTTTTATGGTAAGCTTACAGTTTTCAAATCAGAGTGTATGAAACATTTATGGCTCAGGACATAGTCTGCCTGGTTGTATTCTGGAAAGTATATAGCAATTTAGACTTAAACCAGCAAAATTTTGGAGTGCCTGTTTTCACTACATTTTCACTAGCATTAGGTGTTACTGGTTTTATTTTCCTTCTTTTTTCTTGGTTCCTTTATACATGGAATATGGTACTTGTTTGGGGCATGTGCTATGTATGTCATCATAGATGCACTTGGAGGTGCGGTGTTCAATGTCAGATGCAGGGGTTAGTGTACAGTCACTGTGCTTCGGGCCTGAGTAACTGGAGCCCTTCTTGCCACATGTAGCATCAATCAGCCTTTGAAGTGGCTTTCTCTTTTCAGGTATTGAGAGATTCACGGATCCACCATCTCCGGCTGCTGAACATCCTGGGCTGCCATGCTGTCTTCTTTATGATTCCCACCTGGGTTCTGGTAGACCTCTCAGCTTTCCTGGTCAGCAGTGACTTGGTGAGTTGGCTGGCACTAAGAACTTACCCTTTTTCTTGACAAGTTCTAAAATAGATGCTTTGTTTAGGAGCTACATCTCCATGTTGACTTTGGAGTGTTTTCTGCTATCTAGTAGCCTTATAAAAAATGTGACTCTTTTGTTAGGACTCACATTATATGCAGTCAAGAAAAGAGTGAGCTTCCTTTGCATTTCTGTCTCTAGTGTGCTTGATTCCAGCTGCTGAATCGGGGGTGGGGGGGGGTGGGGATGCCAACACAGGTGACCCTTTCCTCTGGTGGTAGTCTAGTTCAGATCTTACTTTGAATTTTTAAAACTGTACAGCTTGATTTCTTTCCTGTCCATATTTCCATATATTTCCATTTACTCCAGGAATCTTCCTACCACCTATAGCAGTGGTTCTCAACCTGTAGGTCACGACCCCTTTGTCACAATGAAAATACATCCTGCATATCAGATGTTTACATCGCGATTCATAACAGTAGCAAAATTATAGTTAGGAAGTAGCAGCGAAAATAATTTTATGGTTGGGGGTCACCACAACATGAGGATCTGTATTAAAGGGTCGCAGCGTTAGGAAGTTGAGAACCACTGACCTATAGGCTGATCTCTCAACCTCCAGAGAATGTGTTAGAAACTAACATAGGAGGGCTGGGTGCAGTGGTTCACACCTATAATCCCAGTGCACTGGGAGACCAAGGTAGGAGGATTGAGACCAGCATAAGTAAGAGCGAGACCTGTCTCTGCAATAAAATAATTAGCCAGGCATGGTCGTGTGTGCCTACAGTCTCAGCTAGTCAGGAGGAACACTCCAGCCCAGGTGAGGCTGTAGTCAGCTATTGATGACGCCACTGCATTCCAGCCTGGTCAACAGAATGTGACCCTGTCTCAAGCAAGGAAGGGAGGGAAAGAAGGAGAGAGGGATGAAGCAAAAGAAAGAAAAGAGGGAGGGAGAGATGGGAGGAAGGGGAAGGAAAAAGGAAGGAAGGAAAGAAAGAAAGGTGAATATAAAGAGGAGGCTGGTTTGATTTCTGTAGACCTATTTAGAAAGGAAGAATGTTTATTGAGGGCTTACTGTGATCTAGCTCGATTTGTGACATTTCTTGCCTTTAATCTTTAGCACCACCTATTATAGTGGATATTATCTCCATTTTATAGATAAATAACCTCAGTTTTCTAACTTTCCTTCCATGCTGATGAACTATAATTTCTCCTTGAAGAATGTTCCATCATCAGTCAGGACTTGTTTGTTACCTTGAAGTCCATTCTGTACAAGAAAAGCAGCTTGGGTGGGTGCAATGGCTGCTTCTTGTAATCCCAGCCCTTAGGGACACTGAGGCAAGAGGATCACTAGGGGCCAGAAGTTAAACACCAGTGTAGGCAACATAGTGAGACTCTGTCTTTCCAAAACAATTTAAAAGTTAACCAGGCTTGGTGGCATGTGCTTGTAGTCCCAGCTCCTTGGGAGGCTGAGGCAAGAGGATTGCTTGAGTCCAGGATTCGGAGAATACAGTGAGCTATGACTGTTCCACCGGACTCCATCCTGAGTGACAGAGTGAGACCCTATCTTTAATTACCAATTTTCAGAGTAAAAGTATTGTAAAGTGCTGTTCAAATGTTGACCAGGGAATTCAGGGTTTTTTCCTTTTGGGGAGTGGGTGGAAGGTTCTCTTATTTTTCTTCATTATGAACTTTGTGTGTTTGTCAGTTACATGAGTTATTCCTATTCATATTCTCCTGTCTTAGCAAATGGAGCTCTTATGATTATCTCCGTGGCTTCTAGCACTACAGGTCAGTCTTCGGTAGCCTTTGACTCAATGGGATAACCTCCCCTACTCATGCCCTTCCCATCCCACACCTGTATTCAGCTCTTTCAGGAATAAGAGTTCTAGTTGGGAAGGGTGTTAATACACAAAATCCAAGTACTTTTTACCCCTATTTCTGATTTGTATATATTCATGGGGTCCAAGTGCAATTTTGCTACAATGATATATTGCATTGTGATGAAGTCAGGGCCTTCAGTGCATACACCACTGGAGCAAAGCACATTGTGCCCACACACTCTGGGGGTGCTCATTGCTGCTGCATTGCTATTGAAGTTGTGCCTTCACAGCGAAAAGCTAGGATATGAATACTTGGTGAAGCAGCAGAGAGTTCAAAGGGATTAATTCCAATTTCAATTTAATTGTGCAGGATTTTTTTTTCTTTTGCAGTTTTTGGCTGGGGCTGGGTTTGAACCCACCACTTCTGGCATATAGGGCCCGCACCCTACCCCTTGGAGCCACAGGTGCCACCCGATTTTTTTTTTTTTTTAAATAGAGACAGAGTCTCACTTTTTTGCCCTCAGTAGAGTGCTGTGGCGTCACACCCCATAATAACCTCCAACTCCTGGGCTTAGGCTATTCTCTTGGCTCAGCCTCCCGAGTAGCTAGAACTACTGGCTCCTGCCTCAACGCCCAGCTATGTTGTTGTTGTTGCTGTTGTTGTTGTTGCAGTTTGGCTGGGGCTGGGTTCAAACCTGCCACCCTTGGTATATGGGGCTGGTGCCCTACCCACTGAGCCACAGGTGCTGCCTCATAGTCCAGGATTTTTACTGTTTTCTTTTTTTTTTTTTTTCTTTTCGTTTTCTTTTTAAAGATGGAGTCTTGCTCTGTTGCCCTGGTAGAGTGCAGTGGCATCATTACAGCTCACAGCAGCCTCAAACTTCTGGGTTTAAGCAGTCCACCTGCCTCGTGCTCCCAGTAGCTTGGACTATAGGTGCATGCAACCACACCTGGCTAGTTGTTCTGATTTCAGTACAGAAAATGGTCTCTGGTCTCGCTTTTGCTCAAGCTGGTTTTGAGTTCCTGAACTCAGGCAATCCTTCTGCCTCAGCCTCCCACAGTGCTAGGATTGTAGATGCGAGCCATGGCCCCTAACTGATTTCTATACTTATATCTCAATTCCAGTATGCTTGGTTCCTCTCAGTTCTTATTTGCTTATTCTACCCCAGTTATTCATTTACATTCTTCTACTGTACACTCACTCATAAAATCACATCAATTGAGAATCGCCATAGTACAACTGCAAGTAGAGTACTGAGAAAAGTTAAGACTTCTGTATAGCTCCATTTGTTCTCAGAACACGTTCCTTTAAAGTGTGCCCGTGGAATACTGCATTCTAAGATCACCTGAAATGACTGTGTTCACATTGTGCCTGGGTCACCAACTTACTATGCACTTAGGTTCCATTTGTTTTCAGTTTTTAGCAGTTGCCTTTTTTTTCTTCCATACTGAATATGTAAACTTGTAAAGCCCTTATAGTTCCAAAGCCAAACTATGTATCAAGGATTATTCAAAGAAATCTGGCCTTAATCCCTGTGATCTTTACCCTATCTTTTCCCTCCCCCTAGATAACAGTTTTTATGTTCCTGGTTCAACCTTTCCGTGTTTCTTTTTACAAATACGTGTACAAGCAAATTTGCATATATATTCATACCCTCCATCTTTCCTTTATTTTATTTATTTATTTATTTTTTAATAGAGACAGAATCTCACTTTGTTGCCCTCAGTAGAGTGCTGTAGCGTCACAGCTCACAGCAACCTCCAGCCTCAGCCTCCCAACTAGCTGGGACAACAGGCGCTCACCACAATGCCTGGCTATTTTTTTGTTGCAGTTTGGCCGGGGCTGGGTTTGAACCCACCACCCTTGGTAAACTGGGCCAGCGCCCTACTCACTGAGCCAGAGGAGCCGCCCACCCTCCCTCTTTCTGACACAAAAAGTGACCTTTTACATACACAGTCAGCCTTTTTTATCTGTGGGTTCCACATGTACGATTTAACCAAGAATCAGAAATTTTCAGAGGAAGTAAAAGAAGTAAAAACAATAAAAAATAACAGTACCACAATTAAAAAAAACTAATACAGTATAACATTTATTTACATAGCATTTACATCAGGGACTCGAGCATCTGTGGATTTTGATAACCCCAGAGCAACTTGGAATCAATCTCCCTCAGATAACAAGGGGCAACTGTACTACTCTGCACCTTGCTTTTTTCGCTTATTAGGTCCCGGTTATCTTTTCAACTTGACATATAAATTCTACCTCATTTCTTTTATGTGCTGTGTCATATTGTCAACAGGTTTACTTCTGGTTCTCATCCTATTTTGTGTTAACAATTCATTGGTGCTTATATGTGTAGCCACACAGGTGTAATACTTAGACTTTTGCTGTCATCTCTTGGTTTTTCTTGCATTTGAGACTGTTTCTTTTTCCTTCTAGTGATTATTTTTTTTTCTCCATAGAGGCTGTATACACAAAGGATGCCCCAAAAAATGTATATACATTTTAAGAAAAAAAAAATTACTGAAATTATAATACTCAATGTAGACTGATAACAAAATATGAATACAAGTTATGTTTGAGTACCTATTGTAATTGCAGTGTCAAATATGACTTAAGTATTACAATTTTAATACTCTTTCCTTTCTTAAAATATGTATCCATTTTTTTGGTACCCTCTGTGTATGTGTGTATTTTTTTAAAATATGAGTGGGTCCTTGTATGTTTTACTGTAGCTCTGGTGAAACACTATTCAACAGTGTTGCAGCGTGAAGGTATGATTTCCACATATCTGGGCTCCTCCTCTTTGTCTGATGTCTCCAACATAGATACACACAAGTGGCAGATTAGTCATTGCTGTTCCAGACCTGGACTCCAGAATGAGAGGGTGGAGGCTCAGGTGGGAAAACATCAGCTGGTATCTAGTGCTCACCACCTTACCAAGAATTAAAGCCTGGGGCAGCGCCTGGGGCTCAAAGGGGTAGGGCACAGGCCCCCATATACTGGAGGTGGCAGGTTCAAACCCAGCCCCAGCCAAAAACTGCAAAAATAAATAAAATAAAATAAAATAAAAATAGAAAAATGAGCAGGAGTTGTGGTGGGCGCCTGTAGTCCTACTTAGGAGGCTAAGGCAGGAGGATCACCTGAGCCCAAGAGTTTGAGGTTGCTGTGAGCTATG